GGTGACGGGGTGGGGACGTGGGGAGGGGACAGGGGGACCCTCCTGGGGCTGGGGATGTGGATCTGGGACGAGGGGAGGGGGGGGAGGATGGGGTGGTGCTCCAGGATGTGGAGCAGGGAGGGTTTTGGGGGGTCCTTCGAGATGAAGCCATGGCCTTGGGCTACCACGATGTACCTGGGGTGGGATGATGGAGCCCGGGATGGTCCTTCAAGATGGGGACGTGGTCCCCAGCAGATGCCATTGCACCCGTTTTACAGATGGGGAAACTGAGGCAGGGAAGCCACGAGCGCCACCTCATGGCAAGGGCAGAGCCGAGCCGGACACAGCAAGGGGACAGAGGGACCCTGGGATAGTTCTCCAAGAGGAAGCCATGGCCTTGGGCTACCACAATGGACCTGGGGGGGGAAGATGGACCCCAGGATGGTCATCCAAGATGGGGACGTGGTCCTGGGTCAAGATGATGGATCCCGGGATGGTTCTCCAAGAGGAAGCCATGGCCATTGGGCTACCACGATGGACCCAGGTCAAGATGAGGGATCCTGGGATGGTCCTCTAAGATGAACCCATGGTGTTGAGGCACCACAATGGAACTGGGGTGGGATGATGGACCCTGGGATGGTCCTTCAAGATGGGGACGTGGTCCTGGGTCAAGATGATGGATCCCGGGATGGTTCTCCAAGAGGAAGCCATGGCCATTGGGCTACCACGATGGACCCAGGTCAAGATGAGGGATCCTGGGATGGTCCTCCAAGATGAACCCATGGTGTTGGGGCACCACGATGGACCTGGGGTGGGATGATGGAGCCCGGGATGGTCCTTCAAGATGGGGACGTGGTCCTGGGTCAAGATGAGGGACCCTGGGATGGTTCTCCAAGAGGAAGCCATGGCCTTGGGCTACCACAATGGACCTGGGGTGGGAAGATGGACCCCAGGATGGTCATCCAAGATGGGGACGTGGTCCTGGGTCAAGATGATGGATCCCGGGATGGTTCTCCAAGAGGCAGCCATGGCCATGGGGGGTCTTGGGCCAAGATGATGGACCCTGAGGTCCTGGGATGGTTCTCCAAGAGGAAGCCATGGTGTTGGGGCACCACGATGGACCTGGGACCACAATGGACCTGGGGTGGGAAGATGGACCCCAGGATGGTCATCCAAGATGGGGACGTGGTCCTGGGTCAAGATGAGGGACCCTGGGGTGGTTCTCCAAGACAAAGCCACGGCCCTGGGGCCACCACGATAGACTCAAGTCAAGATGAGACATCCCAGGATGGTTCTCCAAGAGGAAGCCATGGCCTTGGGCTACCACAATGGACCTGGGGTGGGAAGATGGACCCCAGGATGGTCATCCAAGATGGGGACGTGGTCCTGGGTCAAGATGAGGGACCCTGGGGTGGTTCTCCAAGACAAAGCCACGGCCCTGGGGCCACCACGATAGACTCAAGTCAAGATGAGACATCCCAGGATGGTTCTCCAAGAGGAAGCCATGGCCATTGGGCTTGTGGGTCAGGCGGTGGGCGCGCAGGTTGCCCTTGTACTTGAAGCTCTTGCCGCACTCCGGGCAGGGGAAGGGGCGCTCCCCGGTGTGGATGCGCCGGTGTTTGGCCAGCGTGGTCTTCAGGTTGAAGGCTTTGCCGCAGTCGGCGCAGGCGAAGGGGGGGTCGCCGAGATGGGGACGTGGTCCTGGGTCAAGACGAGGGACCCTGGGATGGTTCTCCAAGAGGAAGACATGGCCCTGGGGCTACCACAATGGACTCAGGTCAAGATGAGGGACCCCAGGATGGTTCTCCAAGACGAGGCCATGGCCCCGGCCCAGCTCGGCGGCGCTGTCAGGCCAGGTGGGTGCGTTGGTGCTTGCTGAAGGCCGAGCTCCAGCCGAAGGTCTTGCCGCACTGGGCGCAGCGGTAGGGCCGCTCTCCGGTGTGGGTGTGCCGGTGCTCCAGGAGGGTGGCGCGCTGCCGGAAGCTCTTGCCGCAGTCCCCGCAGCGGTAGGGCCGCTCTCCGGTGTGGGTGCGCCGGTGCTTGGCCAGGTGGGAGTTCTGGCAGAAGCTCTTCCCGCAGAGCCCGCAGGTGTAGGGGCGCTCGCCGGTGTGGGTGCGCTGGTGCAGGACGCAGGTCTGCTTGGAGCAGAAGCGTTTGCCGCAGTCGGCGCAGGAGAACGGCTTCTCGCCCGTGTGGACGCGCCGGTGCCGCGCCAGGTCCCCTTTTTGGCTGAAGCTTTTCCCGCAGGCGGCGCAGGGGAACGGGCGCTCGCCCGTGTGCACCCGTAGGTGGGTCGCCAGGTTGCCCCGGTGCTGGAAGCTCTTCCCG